TTTGTTATGTGAAATTCTATATGCTCAGTTCATTGTTTTTTGGTGAACCCAGGAGCTCGGCGTCAATTGAACACACGCCGAGGTTGGGCACCTCGGCGTTTAGTCAATTGACACCGACCCCTGGTGCATACTGGAATCCTTTGCCTCGAAGCGACGAGGTGCCCAAGCTCGGCGTTCCATAAATTGACGCCGAGCCGTTAATCTTGGCGTGAAAATATTAAACGCCGAGGTAGGCGTGTGGGCTGACCCGACGATGCCCGTGGCCCAAACGTCAGCATGGCTTGACTCGATGCCTAGCTGTCCGATCTCGGCGTGGGGCAACTCAGCGCCGATGTTCAGCCCAAACCTGGCGTGGGCCGTGGTGATCCAAACCCTAGGGTTGGCATGAGCTGACTCGACGCCGAGCCTCAGCCCAACACTTCACGTAAACGGCCAAGCCAAACCCTAGGGTTGGCGTGGGCCAAATCAACGCCATGGTCATCTACCTCGGCGTCGTCCGACTTGACGCCGAGCCTATAAATCATAAAAAAGAAAGAATAAAGTATTAAAGACAGAGGTCTTCTAAACCTTTGGTATAGGTTGAAATCCTATTTGCATGATTCAAATGAAAAATCTTTCTCAACGATTCCTCTTCTACTAACACGAGTTATACTAATAACAGTAGACATGCTATATTTATGTTTGTTCCTGCAGGAAAAACCGAAGGTTGGTTCGATTTCAATCCCCTATTTTTAGAGAGAGTCAAATATTTTTTTTAGTTTGGGAATCAACCATAGTACATGGTAAACTGCAATTTATGAAATAGCGAATGCACAACGATTACACTCACATCAAAACTAACAATGGCATGTCGCAAACTAAACCTAGCATGCCTTAGGGGATTGAAAGAAACAAGTGATACAGACATTGCAAAGGTACTACGATTACACACTCACATGAAAACTAACAATGGCATGTTGCAAACTAAACCTAGCATGCCTTAGGAGATTGAAAAGAACAACTCATACAATCATTCCACATTCGGATTGACTAACAAAGGTTGGTCCTAATAATGCTTCCACATATTGAACTGAGTTGCGCCTTCCCCATAGTATCCTCCAGTTGATGGCGGCGGTGGAGAAGGAGGCCCGTGCTTCTTATGGTACGGGCACTGGCAGTACGGATTATTGCATACTGCCTCCTCTACATCATTGCTGTTGTCGTCGTCCGACTTGTCCCTGTTACCACTTCCAGGGCCATGCTCTAGGTCAAAGATGCGTCCCTATAGATATGTGATGTACTGTTGATGGGGATAGATAGGAGGAGGGTCGACCCATCTAGTGAAGCCACAGTTATCTGGACAGCTTGAATCCTGAAAACCCATCTACCAATAAGTACTACTACAAGCCAAATGCAAATCTAAAAAAGGAGAGAGTTCAAAGGAAATACAAATCCTCGCGGGCATCTGAAGAAACGACGGCCTCCACCGTCACAGTCATTGTACATCTGCACAACGCAATCCAAACCGTGGTGGCATTTTGGCCAATCTTCAATGCGCTTGTCGTATGATCTAAGAGGTCTCTCACGGGTGAAGTCACTCTTCCTCTCCAAAGGAAATTCCTCTATTGGTTCTTCAAAAGAATCAGGACCCAGAGAACCCTCCCACACAATTGGAGGTCCCTTCCTCACCCCCTTTCCTCTCCCTCCGCCGAAACCCTTTCCACTCGAGGAACCTCCGCTCGACATTTGCTAAAACTAAACCAGAAAACAAGTTGTGTGGATGTGGAGCAAGACATGGAGCACTATATATAGAGATGAAGGCAGGTTCACCATGAATGCTACTTAACAAAAAACTTGTGTGCGTACTCATTTATTGAATCTGCAAAGGCTAGATGCTTCATCTGAAAAGCATACAACCATGACTGGTCATTTCATCTGAAAAGGCTACACCTGTGTTTTGTCACTTCATCTAAATGCAGTACATCACTCTGATATTAATTCATTGCGTATACGGATACAACAGTAAATAAATCTAGGCTTTTCAGTGAGTTTTCAAATAGACTTTTCATTGACTGCAACAGTACTTGTAGCCCTTTCAGTGACTGCAACAGCACAAGTAGCCTTTTTAGTGATACAAACAGTAGCACTACAGTCCTAGGATAGTTAACGAAGTACAGGGCATAAGACCATCTGAAATAAAAGCATAGTGCATTACAACATAATAAAAAAAGTCCAGGGAATAAGTTCATCTGAAATAAAAGCAGAGTGCATTACAACATAGTAAAAAAATTCCAGGGCTACACGACATCGCTCATGAATAAACCAAATATCTACTGAGTGCAACGAGGCCACTTTCCCTTCCTCTAGGCATCAGGATTCTCCTCCATCACCGCCTTCGCTCGGTGCACACGCTCAAGCTTCTTCTCCCTCTCCGCTCTATATGCAGCAACACGCCTCCTTTCCTCCTCTTCCTTATGCTCCTTTTCTATAGCCTCATGTGTGCGTCTCTGCTCAAACCTCTCCTTAACCTCCGCATTCCACTCCTTCAGGCCTTCTAGATGCTGCTTGTCTGACTCCTTGATCTCAGTGTCAATCCACTGCTCAAAGTCACACAATGGTGGAACGGTCTGCAAGAAAAACAAATTGTTACAAAACAAATAAATAATCAATACTTAATATCACAAGAAAATTAATTAACACACAATAAAAATTCCTCACAATCGATGCACGACGCTGTTGCTTTGTAGGTTCCCATGCATAATTAGGACACATCCAGTACCTCTGTCTATATGTTTCCTCATCTTCAGAGATGTCTACCTTGTAAGGATCACCACAAAAGCACATGGGTCAAGGAACACCTTCAGGGAGAGGCTTTAGGTCGTAGGGATTTGCCCTCTGGCGACCATAGCTACAATTGAAAGAATTTAGTCATATTAACGGAGAACCAAACCTAAACCTAGGGTTTTCTATTTGTTGCACAAATAATGAATAAACATTGGGATTACCTTAGAATACGAGCTTTACCACGCCTTGGCATCCTAACATTACATAGAAAAAAAATCAATCCAAAGTACCGTGCAACGAATGTAAAGCTACTAACACTAAATCACCATACCTCCCAAATAAGCTTTTCATTACAAACCCTAAGCAAATTTGAATCCCAACAAACACAAAATTTAACTCAATGATTATAAACCAGAACATATACAACAACAACAACAACAACAATACATTTGGGTCATTCAATCATTTGAACCACCATACATTGCACGAATGACATGAACATGAACCAAACCTATAATGCCAAGTTCAAAAAAAAACACAAACAACCGAATCTAAATGGATGAAATGAAAGAGGGGAAAGAGAAGTACCTTGGCAAAACGTTCAAGTCATAAAAAATTGAAATCTAATGACCAACAAATAACTAAAATACATACTAACCCTAATGACCAACAAATAACTAACCCTAATGACACCTACAATAAACAAAGAACTCTAATAACCAAAATAACTAGAAACCAAACTAACCTAACATGTTCAGCACATAAAACAGTTAAACAACAATGCACTCAATCAACCTAAGCCATACATTTTGCAAATGCAAATACACATATACCAAAACACCATACACCCATGATTCCACATGATTAGAGACAATGCAAGCACATCTACGCGGATAGATTGGAGGAGGAGAGGGACCATTACCTCGAGGAAGCTTCGGGAGACGAGATCCGGGCACCTAGGGTCGCATTTGGGGGTTAGGGTTTCGTGGGGGCGCGGAGGGAGGCCAACTGCAGAGAGCCGACGCTTTCAGAATGGAGGGAGCAAGAAGAAGGGGGCCACGGCGCGGCTTCAAGGGTCCAGACCTCGGCGTTAAGTCGAGCCACGCCGAGTCTGGTGGCTCGGCGTTAAGTGACCCCGCGCCGAGCTATTGGGCCACGAAGCGTTGTTGGGCCGCCTGGGCCGCATGCCGGATGGTGCCAATAGCTCGGCGTGTAGTCCCACCACGCCGAGGTTGGGCCTGTGGCGTTGGCTGACACAACGCCGACGTGTCGGACCCCATGCGCCACCGTGTCGCCGTCGACCGGGGTCGTCCGTGACGTGGCAAGACCTCGGCGTCGTGTCAGTCGACGCCGACCCTCATACCTTGGCGTCATGTTCTAAGACGCCTAAAAATGGTCTATTTTCAGCAAACGTTTTGGCATAGGTCTTTTTGTAAAAAATATTTTCAAAAGGGACCAAAATGCAAAAATTTCACTATTATTGACCGATACCGACGATCACGGGTACCTGGACCTGCTGGTGAACCAGTTCGGCGGCCTGGACACGACCGACCATGTCTTGGTCAACTCGTTTATAGGAAAGTTGTAGAGGGAAAAGTTCTGCAACTTTATGGTTTATGATGACTGTTTTATTGGAAGTTGTCTCCGAAAAAATTGATACAATGTTCAGATCTATATTTGTGAATCTAAACATTATGGGCCTGTTTGGTTGCAAGCCAATCTTTGCCAAACCAAAATAAGGGCAACTTCAAAATAATTGGCACTCAATTGATGTGGTGTCAATATTTTGGCAATACCCTCCAAATTTTTGGCAACACAACATTGTTTATCTCTTGTTGGTAGCAAACAAAATACCAACCTTCGTTCTCTTACCAAAATATTGTTCTGCCCTAATATTGGTGTCCTATATTTTGGCTTGGCAAAATTTGGCTTCCAACCAAGCAGGCCATATATCCATTATTTTGGTATCGAGATGGATTCAAACGAAAATGTTGTGAGCTCGTAGATTTCATTGTTCAAATATACAATTCTTATATAAATTGGATTGGACACAACTAAAATATAACGTAGGTTTATCAATCAAAAGGAAAACTTTAACTAACATGCGTTTAGATCCTTAATAACGGCAAGATAAATCATAAATAAATAAATCATCGTACAAATAAAAATTGTTTTTTTTCAAGAAAAAAATAGTTGAATTCAGCTAACACAGTGAATTTTTGGTGTGGCGTGGAGTGTCAATGCTTGAAGGATCCGTAGGTCTGCAGTATGGTTGAGATGAAGGTGATGAAGGCGACGAACTCGGCGACGACGGCCCATGGCACGGTGAAGTAGTTGCGCTTCACGTCCGCCCACATCATGAAGAGCGGGTGCTGGCTCCGCTCCCGCAGCTTGTGCAGCGTCTCGCCCAGGTAGCTCTTCTCCAGCTCCGCCGCCGCCTCGCTCGCCGCGCCCACGCGCTTGAAGAACCGCGCCACGTCCTCCTTGCTCTCGCTCCCGGACGACGCCACCACCTCCGCCGCCACCAGCACCCCCGCGTCCTCCGGCGACTGCACCAGCTTCGCCATGAGCCACACGTACGCCGACACGTCCCCGGCGCGCTGGTCCGCGGACTGCTCGAACGCCACCAGGTTCAGCAGCAGCGGCGCCGTCCGGAACTCGATCCGCAGCTGCGGCAGGCGCAGCCGGTCCTCGTGCGCCAGCTTCACGGCCAGCGGCACCGGTCCAAGCACCGACGCGATGCCCGCGGGCGCCTTGCCCGTGCTGCCGCCGCGCGCCTTGTTGAACTGCACCCACATCCGCTTCAGGTCGCTCGCCGACGGCAGGTCCTCCCGCCCGTAGCTCGCGCACCACCGGCTCTCCTCGGGCAGGATCGGGTACAGCAGCGGCACCAGGAGCAGCAGCGGGAGGCGCCGCAGCAGCCGCGCCGCCTCCTTCATCATCTCCACCGGCGCCGCGTCCTGGAGCCGCGGCGGCGGCTCCCACCCGGTGCGCGCCGCGGTGACCATCGCGTGGAGCAGGTGCAGGATGTGGCAGACGTCGTTCGCGGCCGGCAGCCCCTCTCTCATGTCGCGGCCCTTCTCGCCGGCGAGGTAGTACAGCACCAGCTTCATGAGCAGGTCCGCCGGCTGGTACCCCCTGCTGTCGAACTCCGGCAGCCTGGTGCTCTTGATGAGGTCGACGAGGACGAAGAACGGGATCTGGTTCTCGGCCAGGACGAGGTCGACGGACAGCTGCACGGGCCCGAACGGCGTGGCGTGCAGCGACGCCTCCTCTACTCCTGTGGAGACGTTGACGAGGTGCTCGATGATGAAGCAGCCGTCGAGCACCAGCATCTGGATCAAGTCCTCGGCGCTCATGTCGACGTCCTCGGCGGCGTACATGGCGCGGGCCTCCCGCTCGCGCCCGGCGACGAGGCGGACGTAGCCCTCAATGACGGCGAGGTGGCGTGCGGGGTCCGGGTGGCCGCGGGAGATGAGGCTGTGGAGGTAGGCCATCTTGATCCGGTAGCCGGCGCGAAGCCTGCGGTCTGCGGCGTGGAGCGGGCCGATGGCGACGAGCCCCGGCGTGTAGGCGTCCCGGTTGTGCTCGCGGACGTGGTCGGGGACGCGGGACACGCGGAGGGTGTTCGTCATGATCCGGTGCTGCTCCGTCGCCGCCGCGTCCTCCTGCTGCTGCGCCAGGCGGCGCGCCAGCCACTCCACGTGCACCGTGATGTCGTCGCCCGCCATGGCCGCTGGCCAGGAGCTCGTCTGGTTGGCTAGCTAGCTAGCGATCCACGGCCGCGGCACTGTAGGAGATCGCCATGCGTGCGCGTGGACATGTATTATATAGCTCGTATTCGAGTGGCGAATCAAGCTAACAACATGGATATAGAATCATGAGTTCTTAACTGAGATTGGTTAGAGAGAGACGATGATGACATGAACACGCAAGAATTTCTGGAGTATACGATCTCTGGAGTGATGGAGCAAACTAGTAGCTAGATTCGTAGCTTTCGTTGGTGACAAATATGGCATACATGGAGAGAACACACAGGATGAAAAAGTGAGTGCTACTGTCAGGCTGTTGTGAGCTGCTGCTAGCAGAGGATAATTCTTTGCTTTGCTTGTGGGATGCAGAACAGCAGGATATGCGTAAGCTTGTCGTTTTGATTGTAGTCTAGTACTATTCTTCTCCCAAATCATAATTTTTTTTGTGTGAAAAATAAATATGATCGAATTCCGGAGGCATTCCTGGTTGCAAAGCAACCATGAGCTTTTCTTCTGCAAATAACTGGAACATGTTGGAATTGGAACTCATTTTGTTCAACCCAGTAACAGATCATGCCGGTGACAACATTGTAAACTTTGTTTTAGGTGCTGTGCTTTATTTTGAATTTTGGTCCTATACTGAACAAAAGTAAGCATGTACAAATGGCAGGCGCAAAATTTTCTTTCAGCATGACAATCAACAAGAAGTGCACACTGAAAGTCTGAAACTATTTTACCTGGCAGCTACAGTGTTCAAAACTAGCAAAAGGTAGCTCGTGCAAACAAGGGTAGCTAGCTATTTTTTTCCTTATTGTAACAAGTGTTTTTTCTACTTGATTAATTGTCCTCTCGCGCGTATGCTCTGTTATTACATCCATCGAAGCAATCTGTATATAGTTACAACCAACTAATTTATTGGATTAAAAAAATATCACTATAATTCTCTCATCTTTCTTTTTTTTTTGTTACCTAGGCTTCATTTGGAACAGGAGTTTTTCCCCTTTTTTTTCTTACACAGGCTTTATTTGGAACTCGTGAGTTTTTCCCTATTCCTTAGTTTTTTAATGTGAAATTGAACCGATTCATGTAAATTACTTTTACGATTCTTGTGAAGTTCTTGCATTCTAAAGAGGCTCTCATAGCCTTTGGTTTTCTTTCCGTGACCTCCAATATTCCTTAGTTAAACCGTTGTCCAAGATTTTGACAATTATTTAGTTTCCTAGTCCTCTTATTTATTTAAATCTTGGATTATCTTGGATATTCTATTACATACATGTATCACATTTTCCCCTAAAATATCGCCACATTCACCATAATGTTGTTCAAGCCCGTTGTGGCCATTACTACCTTAAGTAGCCATTGGTCGGTCCTATCCTCATGCCAACATCCTTCGGTGCCACAAGCCTTCAAAAAAACAGTAGAAGGATCACTGGCGCTAGTGAGCTGCTGATCTCGGGCCTATTTTTATACCTATGCCATTCTACTGCATCGCTGACTGACATGTTGTGATCATGTTTGCTTCCACTTGTGACTAGCTTGTCACAAAGGAAAAAAAAGTTGAACACTATCCATTGCGTTGCTCGTGAGCTTGCCACACATGCGCATCGAGGGTTCGAATGTGAGATATCAAAGGTCGATATGTTTTTCATGATTTTGTCATAACCCCGGGCACCAAAACATGTGTCCCTTCGCTAGGTCATCACCATAAAAGCCATCGGATTTGATCCATGATTGTTGGAATCGATAGGTTCCATTTGGATGTTCCCCTTTTATCGATGTCGACAGTGATGCTAAAACTTTTCGATGAGGAACACGGGGAAAGAACTACTCGTCAAGCTTAGGGCTATGATGAAAGAACATGCCGAGATGGTGAAAGGATTGGTTGATGGCTTGAGAGTGTGTGTGGGGGGGTTGAATGGCCCTAATAAGCACCACTCAAGCCTAGTCTAACAAGAGTGCCCCTACACAATTCTAGGAGCAAAGCTTACCAACTAGCACGACAAACAAGAAGCTCCTACATAATTCTAGTGGGCAAAGTAAACAACAAGTTAAACACTAGAACAAGCAAACTACTCAAATTAAGCTACTCGGATAGTCGAGCTATACACAAGCACAAGAATAGCAATTGTAAAGAGCAAGTGTAGAAATGTGCACACCAAGGGAGATAAAGAGATACGATGATTTTTCTCCCGAGGGTTGGTTGCTTGCCGGTGACCTACTCCCATTATAGCGAGTCCGAGGATTGTCGCTCCTCCACAAGCTCAACAAGCTCTCAAATATGGCTTTGACATGAGTGCTTACCTATGAGCCGATTGATCAGCTTCATACTCCAACAACCATGAATCCAATAGAGTTGCTCTTCACAATCTTCTGCAGAAATGAGCACAAGAGCCCCTCACAATCCTCCACCGGAGCCCCCACACAATCACCAAGAAGTGCTCAATGGTGCTCGCTGCTCCAAGCTGTTAAGGTAGCGGCAACCACCAAGAGTAACAAGAAATCCATAGCAACAATGATCCTTTAGTGCCACTAGACACATACTCTCAATGCAAATTCACTAGATCACCCCAATCTCAACAAAACACAATCTCAAGTGTGCTTATTGAGTGGAGTGTGTTATTGAGATCTAATGTGTGTGGATACCAGTAGGAAGTGCTAAGAGGGCCAAATAGCCTGGCCACACCCATTTTTTATAGAACCACTCAAGAACTAGCCTTATGCCCTTTAAGTGGGTTGTCCACGTGCTCACCAAAAAAGTTTGGTAACCATCAGAGAAAGCCAATGACTAGTTTTAAACAGAAAAGTAGCTTTTAACGTGCCATTTACTTTGGTGCTCTATCACAGCCATCACCGGATTAATACGATGCCAAACAGCCATTCCCGAGAAAACATTTAGCGAATAAACACTTTACTCTAGTGACCCTCCGGTGCCCTACTACCAGACTTCTATGGTGCAATACAGAGAGCTACCAGACCACCGAAAAACTCGAGAGACCCTCATCGGAGGATGCCAGCATTACTGCAAGGTGAGTATTAGATAAATACAAATCCAACATTTTAGATGTAGAGACATAAGGTTAGGAGCAAACCTCTGTTGGCAGTTTGCATATGTTGATGCAAATACCAATGCATTTTCTCTCTTCCGGATACCTGCATTTCTCAACAAACACCCTGAAGTTTCATCATCAAGGTAAAAAGCATGGTTTCAAAGTCTGTAGTCTTAACAAACAAATAAAGTCAAGCATGAGTTGAAAGTTGGTAAAACAATACCCCACTTGACCAAGATTTTACATTTGGGCCCTACTTAACCAAGGGTTTCCAATAGTGACTGAATTAATTGAGCATGGGTCCATCGACCATTGGCATGAAAGTGCTGTCGCTCTAGCTTCTCAAGAAAATGCAGCAACACCAAAGAGACCAAGTTAAGAAGCATACTACATGGAAATGTTGTACTTTTGACTACAAGTAGATGTTACAATTGATACTCAGCGCCACTAAGGACATTCCTAATGCTAAAAACTACCCACTAGTTTCTATGACTGCCACATCAGCAAGACACCACCCATAGAAACTACCCTCCCAATGCAGACCCTTTGTGTGGGCCTCTAATTATTTATTTCCATACTGAAAGGACATAGGATGCCGCCTAGAGGGGGTGAATAGACGTTTCTGAAAATTAACACCTTTAAATACGGAAACAATTAGTAAAGGGAGTTTTTCAAAATGGAAACTCCAAATAAAGAACAATACCACCCCTCACAAGTTAAACACAGAGTAAGCAAGGTATAAAGAATATATCTAGAACCTACAACCCTGCAACACAAAGTTAGAACAGAGAATAAATATTTTCAGCACAAGTACGAAATACCGGATGTGTCCGGTATACACGATTTCTACAGAGCAGCCCCAAACTTGCTCCTTTCGATTTCTATCTTCAAGCCAAACTGTAGGTACCTACTAGAGATGACAATATACACAGAGAACCTGCACAAGAGCTGGAGCAACACAAATATCAAATGAAATACGAATTGAGACAAGATATTTGTTTTACCAAAGTTCGGACTCGTTCGAGTCCTACTCTCCGTTGAGGGGGCTGCGGGCGACCCAGCAAAGGTCAGCCCTAGAGGTTACCACGAAGGTCACTCTAGCCGGAGTCTTTTCCAACTCCTTTTCCTCCTTCCACTAGTTGATTCCGAGGCGGCAGAATCGACCGTTACAAACTTTTCGAGGCACACCACAATCTCTCGGGTGCTCTCCGGCGATGCCTAGCCATCTAGAACCGAAGAGTCCAAGAGTAACAAATGCAAATCACAAAATTGATAATATGCATAAGTGCTCAAGTGGATGGATTGCTCTCTTTTTGAATTTCTCTCAACCCACTAATTGATTTGGCAATTTGGATCACACACTCACTAAGAGAGGGTTTGGGAGAGGTGGCAAGGCTCAAAAATGTGTATGTGTATCAGCAGAATCAGCAGCCTCCAAAGGTGGAGGCTTAGGGGTATTTATAGCCCCCTTGGAAAAACCAGCCATTGCCATACCGGACATATGCATACTGGACACGTCCGGTATGACTTACACTGCCCCAACGGTAACTAAGTTACAGTGATAATGTGAGGCGTCGGAACTCCCGATGAATGCCAGAACTTTCGACCGTCGGAACTCCCGACTTACGTCGGAACACCCGACCCTCAGCATATTTGAAAACTAAGTAACTGAGTTGAAGTTTGTGAGGTGTCGGAACTCCCGACGCATGCCGGAACTTCCGACCGTCGAAACTCCCGACTCACGTCGGAACTCACGACCCTCAAAGCATTTGAAAACTAGTCGTTGGCCTCTGGTCGTCCATACCGAACACGTCCTGTATGACCAGGACAATGAACCATCTAAGTCAGTTAAGCGTGAGACGTCAGAACTCCCGACCATTGCCGGAACTCCCGACCGTCAGAACTTCCGACTCACGTCGGAACTCCTGACGA